AGATCGTGGCCACCGAGGGACATTGGAGGAAACGCCTTCATCTAGAGTCCTGGTTTATCCAAACAACGAGTAAGAACGTGAACCGGTCCAAGGGCACTCTCCCGAGCGCGTACGTGTCTGGACTTCGCGCCCTCTGGGGTAAACCTTAGCAAGGTCAAACGCCCGGGCAACCTTTCACACCGCGCCCCCTCCCCCGCGCCCTCTGGGTTAAGCCTCAGCAAGGCCAACCACCTGGGCAACCTTCCCCACCGCGCCCCCACCTACAGTCACCCGTGACCAAGGGACCGAGCGGGTCCCGAAACGTCGGGTTCATATGTTTTTAAATAAAACTTTGGTTAGAGTCCGCAAAAACTGTCAGTCTCTTCTCTGTGTCGTCGCATCGCGAATTTACCTTGTAAAGTTCCTACACAATACCGCCTGAGGCCTCATGGTCAAGAACGTCGCGGATGGGAGAGGCCTTCGCTGCGGCAAACTGGGCCTCGAGAGCTGTAACTCTATCGGAAAGTGCACTCACATTTTCGTCGGTGGACCTTTGAGCGCTCTGAACCCGCCCAAGCTCGGCAAGCACATCGATCTGGCTCTTTTCAATCCTGGTGATAATTTCAAGAATACAACCTAACTGCTCCTCCACAGTTGGGCGCATTTGGCAGGAATGTTGACGTCCTGTTTCTCCGACAAGGAGGGGGAACGGCCTCGCGTCTTCTCCGCCTCGCGGCCTTGAGAGAGCGAAGCGAAGAGAGGAGGAAACTAGGTATCTTGACAATCACGCGCTTGTCGGCCTGGTTCAATCTCGACTTCTTTTTCCGAAAATACGGCCGTCCATTTGAGATATCGCCGTACTAGTAGTGTTGTAGGGGATACCCTCCGGGCGGCCACTCCGGCGCCACCGTCGCTTGCGCTCCCCAGCGCCGCCCGTGGTCGACCTAAGAACGATTGGTAGGTTCCCATCTGAAAATGGCGGCTCGCACGTGCGATCCGACGGTGCTCTTTTGCGGCTTCAGAAGGATTGACGAGATCGCAGAATATTTCAAAGAAAAGTCACTGAAGTTAGGGGAGCAACTTTATGCGGGCCGTCACGTGTTTGGCGTGAAAGAAGAAGTCCTTCATTCCACAGCTCCCAGCGAAGTTGTAGGGAAATGCCTCGCGGAGATGAAGTCTGCTGTTTACAACGTCCGGCTTCAGGTGAGCGTGCCACCCGGTTCGGTTTCGCGTACCCCCCCCCCCCCCCCCCCTCCACTCCTCATTTGTTGTTGTTCTGATTTCTCGGTTCAACCGTGCATAACACACATTTTTTTTTTTTTTTGCTACGGCAGCTTTCAGCGCACCCGAGACTCATCGTGGGCGCGAGCTGCACCTGCAAGGCTGGCGTGCGTGGGTGGTGCAAACATGGAGCAGTGTGTCTCTGTCGTCACATTGCATATCTTTGCAGTTGTGTCTCTGTCGTCACATTGCATCTCGCCTTGTACGACGAAGGGAAGATCGTGGGGACGTAAGCGGGGTGCTGAGCGATGGAGCTTTTTTTGTTTCCTAGGAAGTGGCAGCTGCAAATCCTGGCCTGCCCATTCGCGGGTTCCCAGGGGTCTGCGTCTCCGCTGTACACAAAAATGCAGTGTCTAACTGTGCCAGCGAGAAACAATTCTGTATCATGGAGAGCAAACAAAAACCGAGAAGCAACAAAAAAAAAAAAAAAAAAGGTTTCTTTACGTTGCGCGCCGCACCGCTGCAACCCATTTCCGTCGACGCTCTGCCTCGTACGGCTTTGCTGGAAAGCGGTAAAACTCTACCACTGGGAGCTTCCCAGCTGTGTTTCCGTAGCTGTTGTGGCAATCGTAAACACAGCAATAAACAGAAGTGTGCTTTTTCGACTGCGTTGTTGCGGACGACATAACGAAAGCAGCCGGGTACGCCTCCACTTTACGCCTGGCAAGCCTAACGCGAAAGCAGTCGGGAAGGGCGGTAACATACCAATAGTTTTTATTTCGTCGGACAGATGGCGCCACGGGTTTTTTCAAAACACCAGCGCCCGGAGCGTATTGTAGCGTCCCGCCTACATCTCCAGCATTGTTTTTTTGAAATTCAAATTTCGGTTCACCATCCCTTTAACCCTCTTGGGTGCAACAAGTCAGTGCAAGCGGCGCCAAATTCAGAAGACGGAGAGACTTTTGAATTAGGCGCCATTTCTGAAAATAACTCTGTGGCCACTTGACTTTATCCAATATTCGCCGCCATTTCCGAGAGTAAGTAATGCATCTCCCAATTACCCCAGGGGCCATAGGCGTAGACTACGAGGGGGCATCAGGGCTCGTGCCCCCCCCCCCCCCCCCCCCCCCCGGGAAAATGGAAAGTCTACGCCGCTGCCTGGGGCAATGCATAACAGTTAAAAAAGGGCACCAGGAAAGGTTGTGTTAAAAGTACTTGTACTTTACTCTGAAAGTACAGTGCCCCTCAAACTTAACGCCGCCACTAAGTTTCGCAAATATTGATCTATTGCATGCGACCGAAAGATAAATTGATCGCTGCAGCTGGTGGAATAACTTCCCCTGGTTGGGTTTTCATCGGGGACGCAAATCTTCACCAACTGGTTTGATTGCTAGGTTCAGGAATAGCTTTCAAAGTTAAGAAACCGAACCATCTTGTGGCGGCGTTAAGTTTGGGGAGCGCCGAACATTATATTTATAGTACTTTACTTCAAGTACATTGCACCTAATGTACTTACTACTTTATTTAAAGTACATCAATTCTCATTTACTTTGTACTTTACTTAAAGTTCCTTTTAAATGTACTTTGCCCAACACTGCTGGTTTATTTCAGCACTATTGTGCTGAAATAACCAGGCAAAAAGCTTCTACAATGTAGCTTGGCTGCTTTCGGTTAAATCCCCTCAATCCTGGGAAAAGTGGCGCCATTCAGTGTTGTGGAAATGCTCGAGACATGTGCCGCGCGCCACTTCTGGGAAGAACATGGCGTCTGAATTCTAGCGCAGTGCTCCGCTCTGCCTCCATATTTCCCCAAGGGCTGCGCGTTACATGTGCCTCGTGCATCGACGCACCTTGTGCCAATTTTGAAACATGAAGAGACTTTCGGTTTCGTGCCCCTGCACCTACAAGGCATGATAATAAAAACCACTATACAATATAATTTGTCTGAACAAAGTACGCGCATACATTTTTTTTGTTGTTGTTTTTGTTAAACAGCGAATTATAATGCGGTCCAAAAATGAGCAACTTTCAGCGATGGTGGTACACCGGTGTGAGAATCGTGCTCCCTAGCTCCTGGATGATCTGCTTCACGGTGCTCGCCTACACCTTCCTGACGTAAAAAAATTAAGTAAGGCTCTAGTACTGCTCGTATTGAGCAAAACTAGAATTGCTTACGCGTCGCAGACCCCACCTCGTACTGCTGTCCTAAGACGAGCATTCAGTGGACAGCCATTTAGATAGGCGCCAGTGCACCCCCTGTAGGTCGTGAAATTTGCGAAAAGGCACATTTTAGAGTTCTTTGCGTCGGATATAGATAGAAGATTAACGTTTTCTTAGGTGGGATAAATTGGACAAAAAAGTTCTAAAGCCCTTGAGGAAGAGGAGGGGACGGTACGGAGGAGAGAGTATTCCCCTCCTCCCCCTCTCTACCCTCCTTTCCTGCTCTCTTCCCATTTAGCGAAAATGTTTTGCTAGATTTCTTGCTGAATTTAGGAAACGTTTCCCCGCTAAATTTAGCGGGGAAATTTTTTCGCTAAATTTAGAGAGAATTTTTTCCGCTAAATAAAGCGGGGAAATTTTTTCCGCTAAATTTAATGGGAAATTTTTTCGCTAATTTTAACGGGAAAAATTTCCGGCTAAATTTAACGGGGAAATTTTCCAGCTAATTTTAGGTGTGACATCACGTGTGATGTCACACGTCAATTTCACGTGTGACGTCACACGTGACGTGAAAAATCACGTGTGACGTCATTATGGGAAACGTCCCGCTAAATTTAGCGGAAACGTTTCCCGCCAAATTTAGCGAAACATTTTCCCGACAAATTTAGCGGGAAAGATTTACCCTCGTGATCACGTGCGACGTCATTATGAGAAACGTCCCATAATGCAACACTTGGTTACGCCGACGCTGACGCCGCTCAACCCGGAAATAAGCGCCTAAAAACAGCGCTCTAAAAACAAAAACTGGGTTGTGTGTATGTTTATTAGCCCCGTGCGCGACCGAAAGCGTCGCTGTGGTCGGCCTTCCACGATTGGCCGAACGTTGATTATGACGTCGGAAAGTGGATTTATCATCGACGGAAATAAGAGGAATGAAAGAACTTTAATTTTTACGGTGTTGGCAGCGTTGCTTAAGAGCTCAATGATTTCAAGCTTCCACCATGCTATTTACAAACACCATCGAACTTGTTGTTTGCAAGGTAATGACGTCACAAGGGGGAACCATAGGAGGGCGCCACCAAAACATCTCGCCGCTAATACAGAACTTGGTCTGCCTCAGCAGGCGACGAGCCTCCCAGCTGGAGAAATTTAGCCAGTGCAGTACAACCGCTAGCCTTGGGTCTTTAACGTGCATCACGCAGTAGTGATACATGACAGATCGCCGGTACGATGCTCATCAAGATCGAGACGGACAGGGGTGGGGGCTGAACCCAGGATCAGCGCGAGCTTTCGCTCTACGTGCTCCGAACTGCTCGTGTGCGCCAGCCCACTCGGTGGGCTAGCGCACACCAGCTCAGTGTCAAGGTGCGATAGAAAATTATTTCCTTATATTTATGCCGTGCACTTCGTACTGTTTTTTTCTACTCGGTGTGCAATAGTGTATGTGTGTATGTATTGGTAATACTTTCATTGTGTTTTTGTATTGGTGTGTTCAGTTTATGCGTAGTTTGTAGTGTGTGTAAGTTTCAGCATCAGGACCGTTCCTAGGCATTTAATAAAATTTATCCTTGAAATTGTATTTTTTAACTTCTCCTCCTCCTCCGCCTTCCCCCTCCTCTTCCTCCTCCTCCTTCTCTGCAGATGTAGACAGCCTGGACGGGCCCGGCCACCCCACGGTCACCGGGCAGCCAAACCCGGGCATTGGACAGCTGAGCAGCGACACTGGCCTCGGAAAGCCAAAGCCATGAGACAGCCTCGTGCTTACAAGCTACGAAGTGATCAAATTGAAAATGTCGATCGCACTTCAATAATAAGTGCAGTACCCAAACAAATCACTATTCAAAGATAAAAATAAAATTCAGTTACTATCTTATAACATTAATGTTGTTGCGGAATTCATGTCCGATTTTCGTTTCTGCGATTAAAATTGTACTAAAAACACTCATACACAAATTGAATTCTGTTTAGGGTCACCTCGCGGCGGTGTGCACTTTGCCAAAGTTTAACGAGCAAATCGTGGGCTTTTGGCGTGTGCCCGTGTTTTTTTTACGTTCGATCGTAGTTTACCCACGGTCAATTTTCTGTGGCATTTCAGAAGGGAAAAGTGCGCGTGCACACTTTTAATGGGCCCATAGCTTTGACTTGAGCCACTTCATGAGCTCCACTTAGAGTATCGGCCCTCCGTTCCCCGATCTTCTAGTGGATGCCGCCATCTTGCTGCTTAGAGCAGAGCTGGCGCAACTTTCGATCGTCACAATTCAAAAATGTGACTAACCTCAGCACGGTGGTAAGGAGTTCAGGTAATATCGTTTTGCTCTGTAGCGAACTGTTCAAACATTTCCGGAGGGCGGAAGAAACGTTTCCTGTGATTTCAGATAGGTTCAGATAACTGGCAATCATGATTTTTTGCACGAAGATGGCTAAAGCGCAGTTACTCTGAAGCTTACTTAGTGGCTGTAGCTTTGACTGCATAGCCACAGATAGTCGGCTACAAATGCGAGCTCAAAGCCTTGAACTACCGAGCACATGTGCTCAAACAGTACAAAAATAAACTCTCAATGTATTCCACTTAGTATCCATTCGTCAGTTACTAGCTCTTAAAGTCACTGAATCCTGAGATAAAAGCGCCAATGAGCGCCAACCTCCAGTATAGTCGCCATATTGATTCATGGAATTAGCACTTTGTCCTTGACCTCTCAATTAGTGGTTTGCCGATTCGAATTTCCGGTGACGGGTTGCTTTATAAAGAAATTTGTTGCTTAACACAAAAGCGCACAGAGGACGAGGTCAAAGGAAAGGAACACACAAGACACACAAGCATTGACTCGCAACAGAGTTTCATTTCTTAAAGGCCGAGATTTTGTTATCCACACACCGGCGAAACAATTCAACACCTTTGCACCGCCACTCCCTGCGGCGCCAGTGCTTGGCGGCCTTAAAAAATAAGTGCCTGTCTTGAAATAAGGAAGAAGAACTATACCATTGCAAGATATCTGTGGAGTTGTGCATCATTCATTAGTAGATTGCATGAACAGTGCCGAAGACGCTTATATTAGGGGGGAATGTTTTCAGTGCAATGATGCTTCATAGTGACCTTGGCGGCACTGGTTCAGAACACCTCTTTGAAAGCTTCGAGGAGTTGAATGGACTAAAGTGGCGATTCCTATGGCAACAGGTGGCTGTCACTCGATCGTTCCTGTGAAGTGAAACGCTTCCATTTTACGCTCTCCCAGAAACCTCGATTTATTCCTGGTCCCTGGGGTTCGTGGTCTCCGCCATGTCGACCACTACCGAGGCCCAGTGCTGCGTTTTCAACGTGCCGGCGGACACAACGGTGGATGCCGCACGGACAGCATCTAAGCCGTCGCCGGCGGAGATAACCTGTAATATCTGCAATACCGTGCTGAAGTATGGTTCATGGCGGCGGTCAACACTATAGCTGCCACTCAACATCTCATAGCGCAAGGGTTCTTGTCGCTTGTAACATGGACGTCCCCCTGGAGCCATTGTGAGCCCATGCTGTGTTTATGTTAGTATACCGGCTCGCCTCCCCCCGTACGTGTCAGGGCCCGGGAGGCACTGGTGCAAGTCCTCGCACAGTACGACAAGAGGAAAGCGATCAACCACGCCACGTTTCGAAACCGCCCACATGTTGGTACCGGCACTCGGGTGGTCAAAATGGAGATGCCAAACCCAGTCCCCAACTTCGTCCACATCCAGGGGCACCGGGTGATGGTCCCTTACCTCGGTCTCCGCCGCGTGTTCAGCCGTGGGGACTGGAGAACAACATATAACCCGCGTGCAAGATTCCTCGATGTGACCGATGCGCCATCTTGGGTCACGTGACGACAGGTTGCCCGGCCCCTTGACAGAGGGTGGACAGATGCGAAATTTTTCTTTAGCCCCAACTAACCTAAAACTTCTGCTAGTCCGATCAAAGCTAGAATATGCATCATCAATCTGAGACCCTAATATCAACTCTCTTATTCTACAATCATAAGCCATCCAGAACCGTTCTGCGCGTTTCACCTTTTCGGATTACTTCCGTACTGCCAGTGCTAGTTCAATGAAATCTAATCTCAAATTACCCAATCTTTCTTTACGTATCTTTCATAATATTTATCACTTTAGCTATCCCCTCAGTGGCTCTCTCTTTCGGCCACCATCATACATTTCTTCCCGCAGCGACCCCCAGTACAAGGTTGGCAAGCAGCCGCACCAATTTACATTTCCACTCCTTCATTTCCAAAACTGCACCGACTGGAAACACCTCCCCACCTTCATCGACTCCCCCCGATCTCTGGCACCGTCCACTCCAAATCTTCCACTCGCAACCATTTTTTTGTAACCTTGTTGGTGTGTTTAAGTTGACGTTTATTGTTTGTGTGCTTCGCCCATCCCTCTCTGTAATGCCTCGGCCTTGCTAATAAGTAGATAAATAAATATTTGACATTGCCTCAGAGTTTTATACTCAAAGAAATTCTTCAATGAGAATTTACTTGAGACTTGGGTACAGCTGAATTTTAATAAAGGGGCTCCCTTCTTCACTAAAATTCCTACCCCTCCTCAGAAGAAAGGTAGTTTCTTACTTTCCACGGGCTTCCTGGCAATAGTGGCGCCCAAGTGCACTCGCATGCAACGCCGACACCACTGACTGAGAAGCGTCTGTCCGGGTCACGTGGCCGCTTGTTATGGGTGCAAGTTGGGTAAAGACGATGCTCGTTCTTTTTTTTTCTTCCGCCATTGCAATAATAACTTAAGCGTGTTTCATCGACTATGGATGTCAACGAATCATTCTTACGGTATTTCCTAAAAGTTTAAAAAAAATTTTGCATCGTCCCTTTAACTAGACGACACACTACGGAATACATAAAAGCAGACTCGAAGAAACTCTTGCCACAAGTACAATTCCGCTTGCAACCATTTCAATAAGGGAACTTGTTCCCGGACCTTACAGCCTTGTACTGTAAAACCATAGTTCGTAGAAACTGAAATGGCCAAGCAACTAAAAGACACCGATGGCACTGCCCCAACTGGAGAAATCGAACCAGCAACGAGAGATAGCACGCATACGAGATGCGATCGACTCCGCCTGATCGGGGTTGTAAACTGGACACCCTTGCTACACACGTACTGCTTCTGGGCTTGTTTATCTTTACCATCATGTCTGCCTGTTAAGACATCGTACCAAATTAGTTGTCTAGGACAAACCCACAGGCCCAAATATGAGGATGACGATAAGGATGGAGGCGGTAGCCAAGCGCAAAGGCTGACTAGCACCCGATACTCCAAAAATGTAATTAATTGCAGACACAAGAACTTAAATTAAAAAATAATTGATTACCGTTCCAAATTACTCACCGTAAAAAGTAATCGATTAATTACTTTGTTACCTTACTGGATTACTTTTGCGTTACTTCAAAGAAACACGCAAAATACGTGCAATATCTACTGCGTGTTTGAGGGGCGAAACTGTAGGCACTGTCAAAAATAAAACGCAAACAAAAGGCATTCATTACTGTCTACCCCCTTTTTAGCTTAATAAGTTTAAAAGTTTTCAAGTTTTGAAGGACTAACACAGGTGTCCAAAATATACAAATATTACGCTGTCCAGTCGGACAGAACTAAATTCAATGAACATGCGACGAATGCATGTGGGTGGTGAAGGCACGCACTCCATTCGAATTAATCCGAGTTTAGCATCGGCGAACTTCAAAGCGCGATTCCCTTGTAGATGTAGTTTACTATGGTTGTTGTTGCATGTTGCCTAAATAGGGGCTGTTTTACCTACTAAAACTGACTGACTGTGAGACCAAGATGCGGTACTTGGGTTGGGGCACATTTCGAAGTCTCCTGCTAGATGGAGGCTGTTTTTCGACCAAATGACCAAACTTGATTTTTATTTTTGATCACCAAACTCGTTAGAATTTTGATCACCAAACTCGTCGGAATCAAAAATTCACACGAATTATACAACCTTAGAGCTGAACTAATTTTGCCGTTTAGAAATTATTTAAAGAAAAACATAATTGACAATGATCAGCAGGCTTCCATGTCTCTCATGCGTTTACAGCCGCCTTGTGCTTTCTCAACTCCCGTGTCCAAGTCAGCCACTGTTTATTCTCAGAAAACTAGGCATGTGTTTACTTTTCTTAAAATTTCGGTCTAAGTCAACGCGGGCAAAATTCGCTGACGAGGACCTCAGCATTAACTCTCCTAAGAATATGAGTGAGCTTTCAAGTCCCAGGGCGTTCTGGTTGTGCTCCCCGTCAAGCTTATTGCCTGCTGTCGAAAGTTACTGTTTAAACTGATAGCAGGGTTGATGGTACTTTTTTTTTCTGTTACAATGAACTGCTGCCATTGCACCCCTCATGTTTCTGCCTCACGCATCTGCTAGTGCGAAGGCATGTGGCAGAAGCCACATAGCTGGTTGGTCCACCTACACTCTAAAAAAAGCCCGTGCGTCTGCTTCTCCGCACAACACTCGAAGAGCCAATCACCGCAACTTACGGAGGCAGCTCAGCGAATGACGATGCCGAAACATTAGTTTAGACCCAAAAACGCAGTCTGAGTTGCGACATTAAGCAATGCAAGCGTGACGTTTTGCATTGCTTAATGTCACAACTCAGACTGCGTTTTTTGGTCTAAACATATGTTTCGGCACCGTCATTCGCTGAGCTGCCTCCGTAAGTTGCGGTGTTGGCTCTCCGAGTGTTGTGCGGGAAAGTAGACTCACGGATTTGTTTTAGAATGTAATACTTAGCTCTCACAGCGCTGTCAAGCATGAGTATGGGCAAGATCTTATCAGAGCTCATTCTGTTAGCCGATGGACGCGTGGAGGCATAAACATCGACAAGCAAGGGACGGTTTCGTGCG